TTTTGTCCAAAAAACTTAGGATGATATTTTAAATGAAAAAGAAAATAAACCAAATATTGAAAATAATTTAATAAATAATAATAATAATAATAATAATAATAATAATAATAATAATAATAATAATAATAATAATAATAATAATAATAGTAGTAATAATAATAATGATAACATTCAAAAATGTAGTCAATTAATGAAAAGTATTAATAGTCATATAGATTCAGCTAAACAACTCCCAATAAAATCGCCATTTAAAAATATCACACAAAATTTAGAAAAGAAAAAATCATTACAATCCCCAAGTAGAGTTAAACCACAATCACAACCACAACAAGAAAATAACCCTATTTCAAAAATGAATGTACCAAATGGCAATATTTACAGCTATAATAATACTACAATAAATACATCATGTGGGTCAACAACATCATCTCCATCTAAAACTCAAGAGTTTTGTTTTAATTTTACAAATTTGCTCCAAAAAGAAGTAGAACAACAACAAAAAGAATGGGAAAAAGTTGAATCGGTAGAGGAAAATTTAAAAGAGCAAGAATATGAAGATAGTGAATCTAATTTAAGTAGTAAGAAGAATAAAAGAATCACTAGATTCAAATTACAACCAATGAAAATTCAACCAGATGAAAAATGTGAACCTTCACAATTAACAGGGATTGAGTTAAAAAAATTAAATTTAAAACAATTTCAAGATCAACAATCATCACAACAAATTTCATCAAGTTTAGAATCTAGCCATCAACCAAAGAAAATGTCAATTTCTGATTTTAGTTTAGACCCAAGCTCCTCAAAATCCAGAGTCGAACAAATTCAAGATCAATTACTTCAAAAAAAACTTGAAGTGAAATTAGAAAAATTGAAAAAAGATACTGAATTACAAAAAAAAAACCAAGAGTTGAAATCATCAAAAGTACTTATAAATTTTAATAGTCATAATAATATTCAGCAATTAGATAATCAACAATTAATTAATAAATTGGCAAAAGAAGAAAAGGAAGAAGAGGAGCACCAACAACTCGAAAAAAGATTAAGTTTGCTTCAACAAAAATCAATCAACCCAAAGCCAATTGCTCAACAAAGACCATCAAAGCAATCAATATTAAAACAACAAGACCAAATTAAAGAAAAGAAAGAAAGAGAAGAGAAAGAAAGACAATTAAAAGAACAGGAGGAAAAAGAGAGAAAAATTTATCAAGCTCAACATATACAGTTACAACAGCAACAATTGCAACAACAGTTACAACAACAGAAAGAATTACAACAGCAACAGTTACAACAACAATTACAACAATTGCAACAACAACAGTTACAACAACAGTTACAACAGCAACAACAATTGCAACTTCAACAGTTACAGCATCAACAAAAACCAGTATTAAAAGTAAAATCACAAAAAAGAAAATCCATTTCAATTACCCAATCTTTGCACTCAAATTCGACTCAATCATTTGGGGTTACAACTAATATCTCAACACCAAAAAGAGTTTTAAATAAAAAGTTGACAATTCCAAAAAGTCCATTCTTTTTAACTAATCAAAGAAGCAAATCATCTGTATCAATTTTAAAATCAATTGCAAAAGAAATCCAAAATATTAAAAAAGAACATACAAAAATTGGAAAATCATATTTACCCAAATTTAATAAAGAAAGCCCAACTTTAAAGAAATGGGGTATTAATAGAAATTTAACTAGACAATCACCATTTGAATTTCAGTGTGATAAACGTTATGGCGAAATTCCATTAGCAATTAAAAAGAAACCAGTTGAAATCAAAACAGTTGATACAAGCAGTACCGAATATATTAATCATTTATTTGAATTAAATAATAAGAAAAAGAATAGCCACTTCAATAATATCAATAAATACAATTATCCAGACTCTTCAAATAATTCACCACAACCACTTTTTGTTCAATCACCATATAAAAGTTTAACAAAGTCTTTAATTCAATGTATTAATCAATCAAATTTAAAAGTTTCACCAAAACTAATGAATACAACAGCTAATAATACTGCCCAACCAAAACAATCCTATTCTTCCACCTCTAGACTAACCAAACCAAAAGAATTTAGTTTCCACACAACAAACAGGGTTAGAAAAACAAATACTCCAACTCTCTCAAAAAAACCAAACAGATTTATTAATTCAACAGTTTTAAAAACAAAAAATATTAACCAAAACTCTGTACAACCTATAAAAGAACAAAAACCTGTTCAAATTAGTTTAGTTCCAAAACGAAAGACAACAGTACATCAACAAACTAAGTCATTACCAAATCATCAACAACAACAACATCAACAACATCAACAACATCAACACCAACAACAACATCAACAACAATATTGTCAACCTCAAAAACAACAATCACAACAGCAACAACAATTCGTTTCAATACCCCACCAACAAACCCAAAGTTACCAAACTCAGTTATCTACACCACAATATCAATACCAACAACAATTACAGCAACAAATGCAGCAGTATCATTCTAAACAAATACAATACCAAGAAACTCCAAGTTTTCAAAAACCAAATCAAACCCCAGCTTCATTAAATATCCAACATAAACAACCACAATCATTACCACAACAATATAGATCTCAAGTTCAACAAACACCCTATCAACAACCATTGGTTCAAATCTCTTACACACAACCAAGACAACCATCACAATCACAACCACAATCACTTTACCCAATTTTATCACCACTTAAACCATATATACCATATACCTCACAAATAACACCTAACCCAAATATTCAGCCTTCTTCCCAATCATTACATAAAACTGTTTTAAAAAATAATTTTGCTCATGGTGGTCAAAGAACAAACCCAAGTAGCTCAAGTTTAAAGAACAACTTTCAAAAATATATTTAAAATATTAATTTTTTATATGCATTAAAAAAATTATAATAAATTTTTTTAGAAACTTACTTTTATTATTTTTTATTTTTTGTATTTTTTTCAATTAATAATTTTGGATTATAATAACAATAATTGAGGAGTTTTATGGGGTATCAAAACTTCACTTTTTTAATGCCAAATTACAATTATCAAAAAATCAAACTGATAAATTTTAAAAAAGGTTAAAGATTTAATTTTTTTAATGGGCATTTTTTGAACATGTCCATTTGGTTTCATAAAAACAATATTTTTTTTGTGTTAAAAAAAACTTTTCCCCCAATAAACAGCTTGGGTGGGTTTTTTATATTTTTTTTTTTGTAATTTTATTTTTTTAATTTTTTTTTTTTTATATTTGATTTCGAATATAAATTAGAAAATTTTTTAATTTTCATTTATTGTAATTTATTATATATTTATAAACATAATTCTCTCTTTAAATATGACTCAAGTAGTTCCTTTTTGTGATGTATCAATTAATGCTGAATGGAGTGATTGGCAAGTATGTATATTTTGTAGATTTTATTAATTTTAATTCTTGTATTAATGTAAATTCATTTCTTGTAGCACTATCCAAATGGAAGACCAAACCCAATATATGGTGAAGAGGTTATTAAATATGGAGCTACTGGCTTAATGTTTGGATTTATTACTTTAGCATCCAATGGTGAAGCTTGTTGGGCTGCTCAACCAACAATGGCTCTAGATTGGGCTGTACCATTAGCAAATGAACTTATTAAAGGTGGAAAAAGAGTTGTAAGTATTTAATTTCCTATTGGTAATGAATAATAAACTTTAATTAATTCTATTTAAAATATTATTAGGGTGTATCATTTGGAGGTGCTGCAAATTCTGACATTTCTTCCAAATTTACTATTGAAGAATTGGAACAAACCTACAATAAAGTAATTGAGCTATATAGCGCAACATTTTTAGATTTTGATTTAGAAAATGGCTTGTATAATGAAACAAATATCTGCACAGCTTTAAAAACTGTTTCTGCTAAGAACCCAAATGTTACCATTTCATTCACTCTTCCAGTATTACCATCCGGCTTAACTACCACAGGTATGGGTGTTGTTAATAAAGCAAAGGAAAATAACCTTACATTTACTGTAAATGGTATGGCTATGGATTATTATGATCCAAGCTATAAAGATAAAATGGGTATGTATAAAAATACTAGATATATAAAAAACCTATATTAATTTATTTTTTATTTATAGGTGATGCTGCTATTGAAGCTGCCACTAGCATTAAAAACCAATTAAAACAAGTGTATCCAAGTGAATCGGATTCAGCTTTATTCAGAAGAGTAGCCATTACTCCAATGATTGGTTTAAATGATGATCTTTCACTTTTTACCATTGATGATGCTTCAAAAGTAGCTAACTTCTGTGCCACCAATTCCCTTTCATTCTTAAGCCATTGGGATCTTAACCGTGACAATCCATCATCATTCAGCTATGTTGATTTACAAACATCATCAAATCCTGATCAAAAATCAAGTGGTGACTATACCGTTGCAATGGTTAAATGTTAATTTAAAAAAATACTCATTTTTTCTAAAAATAATTTTAAATTATAAATAAATAGTTTTTAAAAAAAATTGTTGTTTTTATTTTCAATGAAATATATTTTGTAGTTATTATATGCTTCTAAAAGATCATTTATTATATTTATATCATCTAATGATGGAGGTATACTATACTTTTGATCTAAATTTAATAAAATATTTTGATTAGTTTTTTTTTTATATTACATAATATTTTTTTAAAATAATAAAAAAATTACCATTAAATATTTCTTTTAGCAAAGACTTTGTTATTTTACCCGTTCTTGTCTTTGGTAATTTATTTAATATAATTATTTTTTTTACTACTGCAATGACTGTTAAATCCTCTGTAATAAGTTTGTTAATTTCTTTTTCAAACATTTCATTATTCATATCACAATTGCTTTTATTTTTAACAATAAATGCTAAAGGTACTTGACCTTTAACTGGGTCTTCTACTCCAATAACAGAACATTCATTAACCATTGAATGTTTATTAATTGAGTTTTCAATTGAGTCTTCTCTTATCATTGAGCCACAAATTGATAACGAGTTATCAACCCTTGATGTTATATAGAAGTATCCATCATCATCGAAATAACCATTATCTCCAGTTTTATAATATCCATGTTTTTCTGATTTATATTTTTTTTTATATAACTCTTCATTCCTATATAAAGTGGTTATGAAACATGGAGGTAATGGTTTTTTAACTACAATTTCACCAATTTCATTCGATTTAACCTCTTCACCGTTACTATTTACTATAGTGATGTTATAGCTAGGCATAGGCTTACCTACTGAACAATCTCTATATGCTAACTGTTTGGATGGATACATAAGCATACCCCAACCAGACTCAGTTTGCCAATATTCATCTGTTACTGATTGTTTTAAAATATTGTTAATATAATTGATGATAGTTGGATGTGATTTATCTCCTCCTAAATAAATATTTTTATGAAATGAAACATTTAGTTTTGATATAATATCACCATTTGGATCATTGTTTTTCATTAATCTTATAATTGCTGGAACTGTGGCTGATGAATTAACCTTGAATCTGCTTATAATTTCCCAATAGTGTTTATATAAATCACTAGTTATATCTTCTAAAATAATTGATTTTACACCTGAAAACAAACACCCATATACGACAAATGAATGTCCACTTACCCATCCAATATTTGCAGTTGTGAAAAAGCAATCTTTTTTTTTTAGACCATAACAATTTCTAATAGCATAATTAATTGCCACCGCATGCCCACCAGTTTCTCTTACAATCCCTTTAGGCTCACCTGTGGTCCCACTGGTGTATAAAATATATAAAGGATGGGTAGACTCTACCTGAACATATTCATATAATGGTTCTAAATTCTTTATCAAATTATCCCAATCCAATGAGTTTTCTATTGATGTATTATCTTCAATTACATCCTGAATATCTTTTCTATTAAATACAATAACACTACTAGGTTTATGTTTAGTTAACTCTATTGCTTTTTTAACAAGAGGTATATATTGATGCACTTTATCTATTACAAAACCATAATTGGATATAATCAATATTTTTGGTTTACAATGATCAATTCTATCAGCCAAACTATTAGATAAATAACCACCAAAAACAACACTGTGGATTGCACCTAACCTTGCACATGCTAACATTGCTATAACCAATTCTATAGAATTGTGCATGTAAATAACAACTGTATCACCTTTTACAATACCTAAATTTTTTAATGCTCTCGAAAAAACACATACCTTATGGTGCAAATCTTTATATGATATTTCATATTGTAAACCTTTAGATGCACAAACATGAACTAAAGCAATTTCTTCTCGTAACTCCTCATCATTTAAATGAACATCTAATGCATTATAACAGGTGTTTAACATTCCCCCATTAAACCACACTTCCTTATCAATTATTTCTTCATATACATTTTCATACATTTTATCCCTATTAAAAATATATTAAAAACTCTTGACTTTTTTATATATAAGCAATTAAATATAAACATACCAATGAACATATTTAGTAGCCACATCATTCCAAAAAGAAACAGAGCTATTCTTTGAGTATTTAATATCATTTTCATAATTAAAAGGGTCACTTAATTTTAAACCTTGCATTTTAATATATAAATAAAAAGTATTAAAATATATATAAAAATTTATATATAAAATATATTAAAACATATATAAAAATTTTATATATAAAATTTATATAAAAAAAAAAATAAAAGATAAAAAAAAATTAAAATTATTTTTATCCATTTTTAGAACCTATGTAATAATTTGTAATATTATTAAAAGATAAAAAAATGTATAAATCCTAATTATTGGGGATAACATTCCAAAATGTTTTTTATGTTATATCTTTTATTTGTTTTTTCTCATTTTTTTAAAAAAAAAAAAGTAATTTATTTGTTTATTTATTATTTAATAAATTATTGTTTAGTTATTTATTTAGTTATTTATTTATTTATTTATTTATTTATATTAAAGCATTTTTCTTAAGACCTTCAACAACTTGATCAATATTTTCAACTTTAACACCACCTTTTCTCTTTGGTGGTTCTTCAACTGAAACTGTTGAAAGATGTGAGGTAGTATCAACACCTAATTTTTCTGGAGTTAAAACATTTAATTGAGCTTTCTTTGATTTCATGCTGTTTTAAAAATTAATTTATTAATACACTGTATATTTATATCTGTTGGGTTAATATATATATATAATACCTACATATTTTGTAATTTGGCGTATCTTGGTTCATTTAATCTTAAATCGCATGAAACAATAGCTGGTAATTTCATTGAAAGAGTTTCTAAACCACCATCGATTTCACGAGTGACATGAACTTTATCATCTTTGATATCAACCTTTGAGGCAAAAGTGGCTTGTGGCCAGTTTAATAAACCAGCTAACATTTGAGCAGTTTGATTACAATCGTCATCAATAGCTTGTTTACCGAGGATAATTAATTGTGGCTTTTCGGTTTCGACTAATTTTTGTAAAAGTTTAGCAACAGCTAATGGTTGGAGTTCTTTATCGGTTTCAACATGAATACCAGTATCTGCACCCATTGCAATTGCGGTTCTAATTGTTTCTTGTGATTGTTTTGGACCCATTGAAACTGCAGCAATTTCCTTAGCAATACCTTTTTCCTTTAATCTAATTGCTTCTTCAACTGCAATTTCATCAAATGGGTTCATACTCATCTTGACATTTGCGGTTTCAACGCCTGATTTATCTGATTTTACTCTAATTTTAACTGCATAATCGACAACACGTTTAATTGGAACTAAAATTTTCATTTTTTTATATTTTAAACAATATTATTATTTAATACTATTATTATATTTATTATTTTTAAAAAAAAATGAACTGAAAATAAAAAATTAAAAAAAAAATAAAATTAAAAAAATTTAAAAAAAAAAATTAAAAAAAAATAAAAAAATAATATTACTTTTTTTTTTTTTTTCTTTTGGGTAATTATAATATGATTTGTTTGATTGATTGATTTAATTAATTCTACAAATGTGATAAAAAATAAAAAATTTTTTTTTCTAAATAAAGGTAATTTTAAATATTATTATAATAATTTAGGGTATTATTGGTTTTTTGTAAAAAAAAAAAAAAAGATCCATTAATTGTTTGTAATAATGAAAAAATGTTTGGTGGTGAATGAAATTTCAGAATTAAAAAAATTTTTAATAACATTTCCCAAATAGTAATACATTAATATCTTTTTGATTTTAAATGAATTACAAAAAAAAAAAAATTAAAAAAAAAATTTTGGGTAAAATCTTTCAATGAATTGATTAAAAATTTACTGTTTTATTTAATGATTTTTAAAATATTTTAAATAAAAAAAAAGGAACACAATTCCAAAAATAATATTTAAAATTATTTTCAATTATTTGATGAATGTTATTTATTATTATTTGATTAAATTGTTGATTTCATTTTATTTCTTTATTTGGATTCGATTTAAAACAGAAAAAATTAAAACAAATTTGTAAAGGGAGGTGTTTGACGGCACTATATCGATAATTCTGTTTAAAAACCTTACCTATTATTTAAATGGGTCTATAGCAGCTATTCTCATATATTTAAATGAAAAAAATAATTATAAAAAAGTTTCAATTTTAGATTTTTTTTAAAAATTTTTTTTTAAATTATTTTTTTTTTTTAAAAAAAAAATTTTTATTTTTTTTTTTATTTTTTTTTTTTCATTTTATCACAAAACAAATATTTATTTATATTGTATAATATTTTAATAGTTTTTTATATTCATTAATACTTATTTATTTAATTATTATTCTATTTATTTATTCTATTTGTTTATTTATATATATTTATTATTTATTTATTTATTTATTTATTTATTTATTTATTCAAAATATTTTTAGTAAAAAAAAAAAAAGAAAACTGGGTTTGTATGTGTTTAAAATTAACTTGTTATTTTATTTTTAATAGTGATTGGGTTTTTATTTTTGCTCCAACTTTTTTTTAAAAATATAAATAATCATCAGGTCGACTCCATATTATAATCATTTTTAAAAAATCACTCACAATCCAAAGTTTTTTTTTCTAAATTTTTTTATAATCACTAAATTTTTATCATAATTATTTTTTTATTTTTTAAAATTATTTTGTATGTATTTTTGGTGTGCGAAAAAATATTTTATCAATAATAATAATAATAATATAATTCAAAAGTAGAATTACACTATTACCACACTTAACAGAAAAAAAAAAAATTACACAGTTTTTAACGATATAGTGAAAAGTAAGAGTGTGTGGTGTGGTTTTTGTTATGTGTTTAATGTAGTGCAGTACTCAACTATTAGATAAAGGGTGTGTTTGTGTGTTTTGAAACAATTTTTATTTATTTTTTTATTTTTTTTTTATTTTTTATTTTTTTTGGTTTTTTTTATTTATAAAAATATTAATAATAAGAATAATAATAATAAAATATTTAAAAGTAAAATACCAACTTTATCATCTAATTATTTATTGTGTATTTTAATTTTTATCAATCATAAAACAATCAAGTAATAATATAGTAATCTATAAATATATAATTTTTAAAATAAAATTTTTTTTTCTTTTTTTTTTTTTTTTTGATTTTTTCCTTGTTGTTTTATATATCAAATTTCTTTATATTTAATTTTCTATTTGTTAAATAACACTTTAAAAGATTAATATTAATAAAATTTTTCAAAATATATCCAGTTCAAAAAAATTACAGCTTTAAAAAGAATTATTTTTTTTTAAAAAAAAAAAATCAAGTGTACTATTAGTAAAAGAATAGCAATAAAAAGAGCTAAAGAAAAAATTAACAATAAAAAGTACTGTAATAATATAGATAACAGAATAAATAATGAGCAAATCATCAACTTTTTTATGTAAAAAGAGAGCAGCATTACAGTGGATCGAAAATGTATTAGATATTAAAATCGATCAAAATAAAGAATTCAACCAAATTTTTGAAGATGGTGTATTATTATGTAAAGTTATAAATACTATAAGCCCAAGATTAATGCCAAGAATTTCAATACCAGATGCAAATACACCAAAAGCAACTATTCGTTTCAAATATAATGAAAACATCAGTTTCTTTATTCAAGCATGTGTTGATATGGGTGTTCCTCGTCACAAAAGATTCGCTCTTTCTGATATTGTAAATAATCACACTACTTATCAAAATATTAAAAGAATTATTGAATGTTTAGAATCTGTCTGTAAAGTAAGTAATAATATAATACATAACATATTCTCTAATGTATGAGAAAATTTATTAACCAAACTAAATTTTTTTAAGATTGCAAATTCAGATCCAAATTACGAGTTTTCAATCGAATGGCCACAATTAGAGCCAACAATAGAGGAGTTTAGTAAAGATGAGATCAATCATGCTGAATCATTATTAGCACAGTTTACAATTAGAGAAAACAAGAGACAAGAAGTTATAAAGAAAAGCCAATCTCAAAACGAGGGAAATTCAGTGGAAGCAACTAAAAATCAATTATTTCAACATCTTGCTGCTCAAAAACAATTATATCCAGATAATAGTCCACAACAAAGGGTAAATAATTTAATTTTAAATAATAGTTGTAATAATAATTGTAATAGTATAAATAAAATTACTGATAATAGCTGTAATAATTGTAATAATAATAATAATAATAATAATAAAATAATGATTGGTAGAAAGTATAATTTGGATTATAATATTGATAGTTTTTCATCACCCTCATCACCATTATCATCATCATCATTTTCCTCACTATCCTCATCACCAATATCAACCTCATCATCTGTATCAATTGAAAAATTTTTAAAGGATGAAAATAGTAGTAATTGTAGTAGCGGAAATAATAGTTTAAATAGTAGTAAAGATAACAACAACACTACAAGTCTTATTAATAATAATAATATAAATATAAATATACATAATAGCGCTGGTAGTATTAGTACTATTAATAATAGTAATAATAGCGAAACCTTTTCATTTAAAGATATATTAAAAAAATGGAGAGATCCATCATTTTTTAATAAAAATAATAATGCCAATAATAAAAACAATAATACCAATAATACCAATAATAATAATAATATTTTTAAAGTTGCCAATAAAAACAATTCAGGATTTGTTCCATCAAATCAAAGATTGTCATCAACATATAATAGTCCTTATTGTACAATTAAATATAAACCAACAAATCAACAAAATAACTCTCCATCAAAGTTAGATTGGAGATTCGCAAATGTAAATAATAATAGTATAAACAACAACAATAACAATAACAATAGTTTAACGAGAAGTCGTAGTATCAGTAGTGGCAATAACCACGATTCTGAAAATAGCTTTTTAAATAGTTTAAAGGGTGATGAGAGGGTTAATGAAACGGTTCAACAAAACACTACAGAAATTAATAATAACAATAATATTAGTAAAAGTGATGATAATAATAATGATGATACCAACACTCATAATAATAATGTCAGTAATTTTAAAAATATTAATTAATTTAATTATATCCATATATTTCTTTATAATATTTAATATAAAATTATTAATTTTTTTTTTATATATTTTAGTCACCAAAATCTGATAGAAATAGTTTATCTCAACCAGTTTCACCATTAATTACAAATGTTAAGGGTACAATTACTCCAGATTCAGTATCTTTGTCTTCATCACCAAATGTTAAGCCAGTACCATCATCGCCATCAAAACCTTCAGTTGTAGTATCAACAGCAACCGTTGCAACTAATGCATCATCCACCGGTACTGTTGTTTCATCGGCATCCAATACAACAACAACATCCACTACAATACCACCAGTTGCATCATCAACATCAACACCTGCATCAAATAATGGTACACCATCAAGACAATCAATTTCTAGACCACAATTATCATTAGAAGAAAGAGCTGCAATTAGAATTCAAAAAGCGACAAGAAGATGGTTAGAAAGAAATAGACAAATTATTTTAGCACGTGATTCTGCTTACAGAGAAAGAATTGTTCAAGAGATTAAAAAGACTGAAGTAGAATATATTAACCGTTTAGCTTATTTAAATGACGTTATCTTGAAGGATTTAAGAGAGGCCATCGATAAAGGATCACCAATTATTACCATTGAAGAAATTCAAAGTATTTTCAGTGAAGTTCAAATTATTCTCTCCTATAATAAACGTTTATTAAGTGACATTGAAGGTAGAACTAAAGAATGGAAACAAGACACAATGATTGGCGATATTTTTATTAAGTTTAGTAATTTCCTCAAGATCTATTCTCAATACTCCAGAAGTTATAGCGAAGCAATGGGTGTATTAAATGAATGCAAGAAACAAAGTAAATTCAAGTCATATCTAAATAAAATCAAAGAACAAAATGAAGAAATCAAACTTCGTGGCCTTGAAGATTATCTCATTAGACCAATTCAAAGAATTCCACGTTACAGTCTTTTAATTAAAGATATGATTTCCCATACATGGCAAACACATCCAGATTATGAACAATTAAAGCAAGCATTCGACAAGATTAATTTAGTTGCAGAAAATATGAACGAAATGAGAAAAGAAGCCGAAAGTATAATGAAGTTAGCAGAAATTCAAGAAAAATTAGATGGTGATAATCAATTAGCCAAATCTCATAGAAGATTCGTAAAAGAAGGTGAATTTTTTGAAATTTTAAACAAAGGCAAAAAGACACCAATTGTACTTTATCTTTTTAATGACAGTTTAGCTATTACCAGACCAAACAAATCATCAGGTTCATCATTCTTTGGTAAACAAAAAACCATTCGTCTTCAATTCGAACAAATTATTTTCCTTCATCAATTGGTTATCAAAGAATTTGAAGGCTCAAATAATCTTCAAATTTTTAAAGAAAAATCATTCTCAATGTTAATCACTGCTCCAGATAAAGAAACTCTTACAGAATGGATCAAGGCAATCAACATTGAAAAAACAGAATACCAAAAAACTCTTAGCGATCACAATGATAGACAAATGGTTCACGTTATAGAAAGAGCTGAACATACAAAACAAAAAATTGAAGAAAAATTCACTGGTCGTGCTAGTGGACAATTTACAACAAATGAAATCGAATCTCAAATCAGTAGCGGTGCTCCTTCTTCTGATGATCTTTCAAGTAGTGGCAGTTCAATCGATATGAAATCTGGAAAAATGTCCTTACGTGAAAGACGTCTTAAATTAGCTCAAGAATCAAAATCAAAAAGATTATCAGGCTCATCCTCTTCATTTACAAATTTAAATGACCAAAATTTAAAAGATTCTAAATAAAATTATTAAATAAATTTAAAAAAATTTATGGTGTGCACTTTTTATTATTTGTTTGTTTTATTATATAAATATTTTGTTTAATTTATTATTAATTTTAAAATCTTTATTTTTTTTATTTTTCCCAACTTTTTATTTGCAAAGTTAAACATTTTTTTTTTTTAAAATTTATACAGAGAGTGTTGAATTTTCTTGAATGCATTTTATATAAAAAAATATAAATAAACACAAAAAAAATAAAATTTTTAAAAAAATTTTTTTAAAAAATTATTAAATTTTTAATTTTTTTTTAATTTTTATACGTTTTAATCTTTTATTAATTTATTGTTGAACAATATATATATATTTAAATGTCAGAAGTTGACTTGGATGATTTTTATGCCGATTTAGAAAATGTAGAAAATGACAATAAATCAACAACGGCACCAAACAATACAACAAATAATAACACAACAAACAATACAACCGATGCTTCAAATAATAAAAATTCAGAAAATAAATTAAAAAGAAAAATCGACGATATAGATAATGGCAATACAACTACCAACCCTAACCCTAATAAAACTACTTCCACCATTAAAACAACAACTACAACAACAAGCACAAGTACAACCACAAAATCAACATTAATACCACCCTCATTAATGAAAAAAAAACAAATGATAAGCAAACCATCTAGTGCAAAATCAAGTAGCTCTACTATAGTATCATCAAAACCAGTTACATATACACAACCACCTACAATCAATGCTTTAGAAAAAGATATATTATTTAAGCAACCACAACAACAGAGATCATCAAACTATTTGAATGTGGTAGCACTTAAACCTCAAGTTACAATGGAAGAGCCAAAAAAGCAAAATAAAATAACAATGGAAGCTGCTGGCGAAACATGGGTCGATCCAACACTATCAGAATGGGATGAAAACGATTTTCGTATTTTCATCGGTGATCTTGGTAATGATGTAACCGATGATATGTTAATGCAGGCCTTTGTCAAGTACCCAACTTTGTTAAAAGCAAAAGTTATCCGTGAAAAAAGTGGAAAAACCAAAGGATTTGGCTTTGTATCTTTTTCTGGCTCAAATGACTATTTAAATGCAATGAGGGATATGAATGGTAAATATATAGGCAATAGACCAATTAAATTACGTAAAAGTAAATGGAAAGATAGATTAGCAAATAATAAATAAATAAATAAATTGGTCTTTATTTTTTTTTAATTTTTTTTTTTAAAACTATTTTCTTTTATAATAATTTTTTTTTTATTTTGGTTATTATAATATTTTTATAAAATATCGAAATTTTCCCTCTTTTTATCTTCAAAATTAACGGTCTATTTTTTAAATTTAAAAAACACCACAACAAATTTTTTAATTTTTTAATTTTTTTTTTTAAAATTTAATACAAAAATAATCCTTTCTGTTTTAATATTTTTTTTTAATACAACTGTGTAGTTTTGTGTACCTTATTCAATTTAATTAGTTTTGTGTGTTTTAATTTTTATTGTTTTTTATATTTCATTGTTTTGTTTTATAATTTATTGTGTTTTGTTTAATTTAAAAAAAAATATATGTATTTTTTAAAATACACATAAATTAAAAAAAAAAAAAAAAATGGAAGTAGAAATGTTTGATTATGATTTAGTAATGCTAGATTATAACAATCAAAAAAATAATATTAATATTAATAGTAATAGTAATAATAACAATACCAATAAAAATAAAAATAATCTATTATTTGAATTCCAACAACTTTCACCATCCGCAACAACAAAACAAAAAAAACAAGAATCAATTGTTATTGACGAGGATGATATTATTAAATCTCCAAGTAAAAAGAATGCCAAGCTCGATAGATATGGATTTGTTGTAACTGAAGAAACATCAAGTGAGGATAGAGATGACAGTGAACAAGAAAACTATCGTGAAGCTGGTAAAAGAATTGCAAAGGAACAAAAATGGATTCACATTGTTAATAACTGGAATGACTTTTTAATAAACCAACCCGAAAAATTATTATATTTATCATCAAAAGGTATACCAAACAATCTTAGATCGATCGTATGGAGAAAAATGTTAAACATTTCATATTTTAAAAATCAATACCCAGATGACTATTTTGTTGTAAGTAATTTAAATCATTTCAAAGTACCAATAAAAATATATTAAATTTTATTTTATTTTTATTTTTTAAATTTTTTAGGAACTTTGTAAAAAGTCACACAACGAACATACAGAGCAAATTGAATTAGATATACCCAGAACCTTTCCAAATCATAAAAGATTTTTTACACAAAGAAGGTAGGATAATATTTTTAATTTTAATTTAAACTTTTATTAAATCTTTAAATAAATATTAACTTTTTATTTGGTTTTATTTTATAGTAAAAAAGATTTATTAAATGTTTTACAATCATATTCATATCATAATGAAAAGGTTGGATATTGTCAAGGTATGTCATATATTGCAGGTGTATTATTAATGTATTTATCACCAGAAGATACATTTTGGTTATTAGTGGCATTGCTCGAAAGAGAAACCATGGGCTATTACATGCCAGGTATGCCACAGCTAATTTCCGATTCACAACTATTTCAAAAAATTATAGAAATCGAAAACAAACCTTTAGGTTTACATTTAGTATGTATTTATAATTAAAATAGACCAAGATGTAAATTTATTATAAATATTAATAATTTTAATTTTTTTTTAAAAAAAAAAAAAAGATAAATAATGGTATTGATCCACTCCTATATGTTACACCATGGTGGATGTGTTTTTTTACAACACTACAAGATTGGGGTGCAGTTCTAAGACTTTGGGATTTGATTCTTTTAGAAGGTGTCAACTCATTATTCCGTTTTTCACTTGTAATATTAAAATATTCCGCTGGTTACTTATTTAAAAAAAAAGGTGCCGATGGTCTTTTACCATATCTTTTAAGACCACCAATTGACGATATTGGTGGAATAGACTTTTTACTTAAAACTGCCATGGAGTTACCAATTATAGATTTAGTTAAAGAAGCCAAAGAAAATATTGAAAAAGAAATGGAAGAAAAGAAATTAAAGGATCAGAAATTAAAAGAGGAAAAATTATTAAAAGAACAACAACAACAACAATCATCATTAAGAAAATCATCAACTCTTGTTGAAAATAATAGTTCAAATGTATTTGATAAGATTATTAAATTTATCGATCAAGTTGATAATGAATTTTCCGAATCAAATACCAACTATAACAATTCAGTTAAGGATAATAGCAATAATATAGAAAACAAAGCTGAACAACAGACACAGCAACAACCTCAACAACCACAGCAACTAAAAACTCCTGTTAAAACTGGTTTATTCTCAAAGAAAATTCGTGATCTTACAAATAGAATTAAAAGTAGATTTATTCCAAACTATGGCTATCAACCATGTAATGTAATTTTAGAACAAAAATTAAGCAGAAAATCAATCGCAAGAAGACCATCTATGGTTCCAAGACATTCAATTGCTCAAAGAAAATCAATTGCACCAAGAAAATCAATTTTACCACCAAAACAAACTGAAAATAGTAACAATACCACTATTGAAGATAACAATATCAATCCAGATAAAACTATGGAAACCAACAATTCATCCACCACCATCACCACCACCACCACAACAACAACAACAACAACAGATAATAATAATAATAGTAATAACATAGATAATATTCCAAAAAAACCAAGACAATCTGTAATAAGAAGACCATCATTGATGCCAAGACAACAAACCATTGCACCAAGACTATCAGTAGCAACAAGAAAATCAATTGTAGGTAGAAGACCATCAATTGCACCAAGAAAATCAATAAAACCAAAAACCAATACCTCCAAAGCAACTCAATACCAAGAATGTAAATCTGATCCATTAACAAGTAGAAATAGTGAAGATGATGAGTGGGTAGGAAGCACAAATGAAAAAGAATTTAATGATTTTGTAGCTAATGAAGAACAACAACAACAGATAACATCAACAAATAATTTATTAAATACAAGTAGGGAAATTAATAAAAAGTATCCAACACCAAGCTCACCAGTACCAATGATCAAACCACCACCACCATCAGCTACACCACTATTAAAAATTTTATCACCAACTAACAATAGTTTAAATACAAGTTTAAATAATAGCAGTGGCTTGATTGGATTTAAAACAAACAATCCACAAAGAATTAATAATTGTAATAGTAGTAGTAACAGTCTTTATTCATCACCTTTAAGAAATCAATCATTTTATAAATCACCAATTAAAACACCAAATCATAAAACAATCAATCAATCTGTTGATCTCCTAAAAGAAATTATGAAAACCCCACCAAATGATAATAAATGGACCACTTGGGTCAGTAGTACCAATGCAAGTACAATTAAAACATGTCAATTTGGTGAATTTTCATTCTCATCTCCTCAACAAAACTCACCAAATATTTATGAAAAACAATTCCTTAAAGAATTCTCAACACCAACTCCATTAAAGGAAAATAATTATTATCGTAATAGAGGTAATATTCCAGATACTCCTCAAACCCCATCGACCACCACTAAAAAAAGATTGTTATTTAATAATAACAATTTAAATTATCAAAATGATCAAGAAAACAGATATATCCAACAAACACCAACAAAAACACCCATTAAATTTTTAAAAACAAATAATAATGATGAAAATAATATAAATAGATTAAAATCATCAACAAACAATTTTAATAATAATATTAATAATAACAACAACAACAACAATAATAACAATATGGATATCGATTTTGAAAATACTCCTCAAACCAACTCACCATCCTCTTATGAACTAAAACAAATTGATCATCAAAATTTCATAAACAATAAGCAAGTTAAAAAATGGGACTTAAGAGTTTAATCACTTAAACCCATAATTCACAATAATTTTCAAACAAAAAACTAAAAAAAATTTAATTATTTTTAATAGTACACTTTAAAGAATAAATAAAAAAATAAAATAAAATAAAACCAATATCTCCTAAATATTTTATCTCTTAATATTATTTAAATTAGTAATCAATAGTATATTTTTTTTTTGGTTCACTATTTTTAAAAAAGCTAAAATTAGAAAATCTATTTTAAAAAAAAAAAATTAAAAAAATTAAAATAATTTGTTGTAAAAAGCAAATATTAAAAATCATATCCCAAATATTAAAACTGCATTTAAAAAACAATAACAAATAATTTCAAAACAAATATTTGATCACTGACACAAAATATTTAAAGGAATATAGCCCAAAAAAAAAATATATTTGTAACATTTAGAATTAATTATTTAAAATGGAAATAAAATAAACAAATACTATTAATTTTTCAAAAAATATCTGTTTTGTTTTTTTTTTTAGATTTATAAAATACAATTTTTATATCGTGTATCTAATCATATTTTTCAAAAATGCTAAATTTAGAAAAAAAAAAAATATTAAAATATTAATATTAAAAAAAAAAAAAAAAACAATAATAATAGTATATATTATTATAACAAAAATATTCATATAAAAAATATTAATAATAATAAAAAAAAATTATTAAAAAATTTTTAATGGGTAGTTAGCTAACCAATTTTAAAATTTTTTCAAATAAAAACAGTTGGTTTGATTTTTTTTTTATAATTTTTTTTTAATTTTTTTATTATTTATTTTTTTTTTTTTTGGTTTTAAAAATTATTTTTCTTTTTTTTTTTTTTAAAAATTATTTTATCATATTAGTAATCTTTGTATTATAATTTATTTATTTATTTATTCTTATATAAAACTTTAAAATGGTAATGTATTTTTAAATTTAATATTGATATTTATTTAATAGCCAAATACTAATATTCTTTTTTATTTTCAAAAATTATATTTATTACAAATTTCATAAATTCATTTAAATATCACATAAATTAATTTCAAAAAAAAAAATACAAATAATTTTCAAATACAAATATTTTATTAAATAATAATATTAATAGTCTGCCTCAGCTGATCAAATTCAAGAATGTTTCTCAATCTTTGATAAAGATAATGACGGTAAAGTCAATGTTGAAGATATTGGTGCCTGTTTAAGATCATTAGGTAAATCACCAACCTCAGCTGAAATCGAACAATTAAAAACTGAAATTGGTGCTAAAGATTTCGATATCAATACCTTAAAAACCATTTACAAGAAACCATCAATTAGAACTCCACAAGAACAACAAAAAGAAATGTTAGATGCTTTCAAAGCTTTATCAAAAGACGGTAACAACACCATCCCAGAATATGAATTAAGACAATTATTAACTACTTTAGGTGATTATCTTACCATCGCTGAAGTTGAAGAATTAATGAAAGAAATCCAAGTTGACAATAATGGTATATATTTTTAATTTCATATTCAATACAGCATCCAAAAATGTAGATATTAATGTTTTCTTTTCCTTTTTAATATAGGTAATATTAACTTTAACCACTTTGTCGATGTCATCGTTAACGGTTACCCATTATCAGGTTTCTAGATTTTCATCAAATTTATGGTTTAGTTTAGGTCTTGGATTCTTGTCCATGGTTTAATTTTCACCATAATGGTTGTTGTAATTTAAAAAAAAATTTTAAAAAAAAATAATAAAACATTTTAAAAAAAAAAAGCAATATAAACAAATATAATAATATAAATTGTAATAAAAGTAAAAGTCTAAAAAAAAAAAAAAGTTTTGTTGGTTTCATATTTTATTTTTGTTGGGTTGTAAAAAAATTTTATTTTATTTGAAAAAATTTAAAAAATTTTATAAAATTTTATAAAATATTTTTTTTTTTTTTTTTTATGTTTAAAATGGTCCTCTTATCTAAAATATAATCTATTATCATTTTGGTAAAATTAATTATCATTTTGGTATTTTTTTTTATTTAATCATTTAATAAAATATTTTTTTTTATTTTTTTTTTTTAATTTTTATTTTTTTTATTTTTCATTTCTTTTTTTTAAAATATTTTTTAATTTTTTTTTAATATTTTCAATTTCATTGACAGATAATAAACAATAATCATGATATTCGAATATATCCCTTACGAAAAATTTGTATCGAATGCATTTTTCCTTTGCTTATTATATTGGATAGTTGCTTTTTTTTTATATTTAATTAGATTATTCGATGAACAAGGATTTGGTAAAGCAACAGCATATGGTAAATTAGCAACACCAGCAAATCCACAAAATAAAGAAAAGGAAAAGGAAAAAGAAAAAGGAAAAGAATCAACAAATTTTTTCAATAAAAAAGTTATAGTTACCAAAAACGCATGGACAATTTTCTATCTTACATTATCAGTATTATCAGCAGTTTATTTGGTTTTATTATGGTAAAGTATAGATAGATATATATATATATAACAAACTCACACATTATTAATATTTTTTATTATAATTAGTAAAATTGAAGATAATTTATATAATCAAAAAATTTTATATGTTTTATTTATTATTCAAGGTTTAAGAAGATGTTATGAAACAGTTAAAATTCAAAGTCATAGATACTCAGAGATGAGTCTTTTCTTATTTGCTTCAGGTATTTCATATTATGTATTTTTAGCAAGCTCAATCTATTTCGAAACTTTATTCAAAGAAATGAATGGTACAATCCTCGAACAAACAAATAGTTTAGAAAAGAAAAATATCATCAAAATTATCATCTCGGTAGCCTTGTTCACCGTTAATTCATACGAACAATTTCAATCACACAAGATTTTAGCATCATTAAGAGCAACCGATAAAAAGGATGAATCATCTACAACTCCACAATATAGAATCCCATATGGCAGATTATTTAACAGATGTTCATCACCACATTATTTCTGTGAAATCTTAATTTATCTTTCATTTTTACTTTTAACCTATTTTAATTATTATACATTACTGTAAGTATACTAAATTTATTTATGTATATAAATTTAATATAACTAATCTTTTTATAAATTTATAAATTATAGTTTATGTTTTGTTTTTACTTTTGTAAATTTATTCCACAGAGCCAGCGAAACCCACGATTGGTATATCACCAAATTTAGAGAATATCCAAAACAAAGAAAAATTATGATCCCAAATTTTATTTAAATAAAAAATAAATAAAAAAATAAAATAAAATATATAGAAATGGTTTATTTATAAAGAAATTTAAAAAACCAATAAATATTATTAATTTTTTATTTATTATCGTTTATTAACCTTTTAGTTTTAAAAATGAATACCAAATTCCCCCCAGTATGTTCACTATTAAACCTAAGATATTTAGTGGATGTATAATTATATCTTGGAAAATAATTGCCCCCAACACCATTGTTATAATATTTTTTGCAGATCCCACTACGGAAGTTGTCATTGGTGAATTTACAGCTGTGCAAAAGAAAATGCAAAAATTTAAAAAGAAACCTAAAAATACAGAAAGTGCATAATAAATTTGAAATGATCTATTATTCAAGTATTCGTACGAGCTAAAATATTCCAATTCTTTGTTGACTACGACTAGTATAAATGTAAATGGTAATGATAATAAACTATTTAAATATAACATATCATATGTAGACATATTAGTATTTGATATTTTTTTTGCGTAAACTAAATATGATGCCTATAATAATAAAAGTGTAAAATTAATATTATGACACAATGTTGATTATAATGTTTGCCTATACATACTTGAAAAAAGCAACTTAACAATACCAATGAGTAACCTAAAGCGCTAAATGTTAAATCTGTTACGCCCGCTATTATTGCGCCAAATACCATCACTATAACTGACGCCACTACCTTTGGGGGCGAAACTTTTTTTAATATAAAATACTCCATTATCAAAACAACAAATGCTACCAATCTTTTTAGTGCGCTATACATTGGTATATTTAATTCTTTTAAAGAGTCTAATCCTAACAATACGTTTGTTATATAACAAAATGCTAATGGAATAACCTAAGTATTATAACGGTAATTTAATGTTAATATGTGATTTAAACTTGCAAACCATAGTTTTTACTTACACTTTTAACAGTTTTAATATCATATGATGTATTTAGTTTTATTATATTAAGAAACTTCAATATTAACAAAACCACTATTGTGGTGATCATTTGATTTAATAATAAAAAACTAGATGCTTGAAATTTATAAGTTGCTACAACTTTTTTATTGAATATAGTTTGTGATAAACTAACACTACCTATTTATAAAAAAAAATATTAGTTTTAAAATACTTCAAGAATAACGAAAAGTATAATCTTACCATATAAAAGCACCGCAAATGCACCTTTGTATTGGATTTTAATATTATAACGACTTAATGTATATGAGAGTATTTCGTGCGGAAACCTTATATAATCCAAAAGTTTCATTTTTTAATACTATTTTATATAATATGTATTATTTATTATTATTTATTTTATTTTATTTAGTATTATTTAGTATCACACACAAAAAAACAATTTTTTTTTTTAAAAAATATTGTGTATGTTGTTGTGGCATTTTTCATTTACCGCATAAAAAAAAAAAAAAGTTTTGAAAATTTTAAAAAAAAAAAACAGGATAAAAAATTTTTATTTATTTAATCGATGCAAAAATTTATATGCTGTGATGAAAATTAATTTTTGTATAGATATTTTTTTTTTATTTATCAAAAACTACAACGGAGTAACTGGGATCACTACCAATGCCACTTTAAAAAATATTATTTTTTATTTTTTTTTTTTTTTTAATTTTTTTATTATTTTTTTTTTATACAACACTTTTAAATTTTGAAACATCACTTATTTACAAATAAATTATCTAAACAGATTTTTATTTTAAATGGAATTTATTAAAGAACAAAAGTTTTTAACAACAGCTACCCTAGTTGCGTTCATTGGTGTTTTTATTAAATATTATCTTGGAAATCAAAATAACCAAAATAGTTTGTCAAAATTTAATGATATAACTATAAAATCAATTATCATTTATCCAGGTATGCACATAAATTATATAAAAAAAAAAATCTTATTTTTTTTAAATTTTTAATATTAATTTTTTTTAAAGTTAAATCATGCAAGGGTATAGAATTAAAGTCATGTAAACTAACCAAATATGGATTTGAAAATGATAGAAGATGGATGATTATAAAAGATAATAGATATGTTTCAATGAAGCCATATCCAATAATGAGTACTATTATACCAACATTCTCTGATGATGGGAAAAAACTAATTCTATCAAAAGAAGGAATGGAAGATCTAGTTTTATCGGCCGAACCATTAGATATTAATAAAATGGATCCATCAAGAATTTACCAACAAGTTAATTTAATCGACAATGTTGCTCAAGTATATGATGAAGGAGATGAAGCTTCCAATTGGTTTAACCGTGCAATGAATGCCGAAGGTATGCGTTTAGTTCAAATGTGTCCAGCTCAAATTTGGAACGTAATATACGTCAACATATGGCCGAAAATGTTGATCCAAACCATTTAGATAAATTTAAAAACTCGTTAGCAAACTCTTGTCAAATAATGCTCCTCGGCCAAGGCTCAATAGATTTAATTAATGAACGTATTGATAAAACTAGAGAAGAAAAATGTGAACAAAAACAACCACCATTAACATGGAGAAGATATAGACCAAATCTACTTTTATCAGGCACCTCTCCTTTTCAAGAAGATGATTGGAAACTTTTCAAGTCAAATAAAAGTGATGTTACTTTTAATGTTTGTGACTATAATGGTCGATGTCCAATTGTACTTGTTAATGAAAAGAGTGTAATGGATCCATACAGCGATGATGAGCCACTTAGAACACTACGTAGTTTTAGGGCTGCCACTTGCAAAGCTGGTGATAAAACTTTAGTAGGTATTTATTGTGCCATTGAAGATAGATACATCGATAAAATAGTATCAGTTGGTGAAACAATAACTGTTTTAAAAGGTGGGTTAACGTCAAAGTATTTTAATAAACTATTTAAATAATCTTTAATATCAATAAAATAAATAAACCTCCTATATTCTTATTTAAACAATTAAGTATTTATTTATTATTTTATTTATTTATTTTTTTATAATTTATTTTTTTATTATTTTCTATAGGTTACAAAATTCTAAATGATTGTAGGTTCCTGAATAAGAAGTGCAATAATTAAAAAATGGGGTGACGTCGGTATGAGATGGGGAACCTGAGCATTCTAAGTTTTTATACGAATTAGTCAAAATTGAAGTTGAATTACAAGACATTTTACTTGATACTCTGTTAGATGAACTACAAAAATCTAAATTATAATAATTGAAGCTTACAAAAGTATCTTTATATTGACCATTACATTCACCACTATAGTCAACAGTAACATAAATATTTGATGGGAAATCTATATTATCTAAAATTGAGAATTTTAATGTATCACCACTTGTAGAATTACAATAGTTTGGTTCATAAATTACCTCTTCAAGATATAGATTGCAATTGGAATCACGATATCTTCTCTCAATAACTTTATTCCCAGAAACTAAGTAAACTGAAGAAAAATTATTATTGTAGAAACATGTTTTAGTCAAAATTGATCCCTTGATTAAAGATTCACCAGAACATGATGATCCATTTTCATAATTTTCCATTAATACATATTCGCTATGAACCATAGCAAATAAAAAAGAAAAGTATACTATTAAAGTTTTTAAAATCTTCATTTTTTTTTTATTTTATTATTTATTTGTTTATTCTATTTGGTTGGTTTTTGTTTGCAATAAATTTCAATTTTTTTTTTTATTTATAGTTTTATTTTAAAAAAAATATGTTTTTGGAATTTTACATTTAAATTTAATTAATCAAAAAAACAAAAAAAAATCTTTTTTGGTTTTATATTTTCTGGGTCCCAGTTTAATTCCATTCTTGCAGAACCTTCGTAATTCGATTTTAGTCTTCCATTAAAAAAAAGAAAAAAATATAAATCTATTTATAAAAAAGTTTGAAAAAATAAAATAACCAGATAATTTTTTTAAATTAATTTATTTATTTATTTTATTATTATAACATTATTATTAAGTTTTTTTTTTTTTTTTTTTTTTTTGTTAAATTAATTGATTTTTTTTTGAGTTAGAAAAAAAAACCAAATTAAAATAATATAGAGGGAGGTGTTTTGTTAATATTAATACTAGGGGATTTTTGATTTATTGATAATGACATAGAGTGAATTAAAAACATGTTTTTATTTTTTTACAAGATGTTGCAACCACCTGATGATTTCTTCTTTTTGTGGACTGGTGGATTGATAACAGCACGGATAGCTTCATCAAAAACAGTTTTAAGACCCTTTTGAGTAAGAGCTGAACATTCAAGATATTTAACAGCGTTGATTTCTTTCATTTTAGCAAGACCTTGTTCGTATGAAATTGGGTAGAGTTTCTTTTCTTTTAATCTATCTTGAGTTTCTTTATCCTAAAATTTTTGTAAAAAAAAAGAAAAAAATTAATATTATATTTTAATAGATATATCTGTGGGAAATAAAAAAAACTTACTTCTCTCATATCTAATTTGGTACCAACTAAGATAATTGGAACATTTGGAGCGTGGTGACAGATTTCTGGGTGCCATTTACCGTTAACATTTTCAAATGATGATGGTGAGATAATACTGAAACAAATTAAGAAAACATCAGTTTGTGGGTATGATAATGGACGAAGTCTATCATAATCTTCTTGACCAGCAGTATCCCATAAACCAAGATTGATTGGTTTACCATCAACCATAACGTTGGCACTGTAGTTATCAAAGACAGTTGGGATATATTCACCTGGGAAAGCATTGGTGGTGTATGAAATTAAAAGACAGGTTTTACCAACGGCACCATCACCTACAACGACACATTTAATGGCTATATTTGTTTTGTATTGTTTGAATTTTTTTTTTTTTCGATAATTTATTTGATGTTTGAATTTAATTTTAAAAAAAAAAAAAAAGTAAAAAATTTTATATTAATATCTATATCTGTATTAACCTATTTTGAACTTTAAATGTATCTAAAATTAATTTACCTTGCATTTTATTCTAGTTTATTATTATAAATATTATAAAAAAAAAAAAATCTACTACTAAAAATAATAATAATAATTAGTACCAAAAATTTTAAAAAATTTCTATTTTTAAAACTCTAATCAATCACTTACTACTACAGGTTAATTATTAATACTACTAATAATATTAATATCAATTATTAAATAAATAAAAAAAAAAAAAATTAATAAATATTATATAATAATATAAAT